AAGAGAGGAGATCGAAAGAACGACAGCTTGATCTCTAATTTGCATTGACTTGGATTGTGCTCAGGAGGACGGACCTCCATGCTGCTTAAAAACATTAGCGCTCCAACTACAGATTGATCTGATGAAGCAGACAGAAAGACAAAGACTCCTGGGTAGATGTAGGAACCTGCAGCATCCCAAAAAATTAAAAGAATAAAACTCGGGTTGGTCTTCTAAGCCTGTTTTGTGGTTGCCATGGCCTGGATGAATGAGAATTTACAGAGGCATGTTCACTGCTTATAGTTCTATTTAAATTACACTGCTAAGGTTTAATGATGCAAACCTTGCTTGATCCCAGTCTAGCCATGCAAAGGTGATCTTCTCTTAAACATTCTCGTCGAAGACCTGGAAGAAGTCATGCAGGGCGGTGCCTCCACATTCAGTGGCACCAAGGGGTTAGACGTGCGATATAAAACCATAGTATTTGAGGACAATAGTCTTATTGTGGCAAAGGTCAAGTCCTCTGTGGAGAGGACATCACCATGTCTTCTGTTTCCTTGAACCCCAGTCAGCCTCAGCAGATGGTCTTGTTCTGCTGGAGGTTTCTTCCTGTTAAAAGGGAGTTTTTCCTCTCCACTGTCACTACAATCAACTGGTTTTCCTTAGATAGAAAACAATGAATCAATGTGACTGGATGATCTGGTGAACCGTAAAGTGCTTTGAGATGACATGTGTTGTGAATTGGCGCTATAAATAAACTGAACTGAAATTTAATTGAATTCAGAGTTTTATTTTTCGGTGGTTCAGCTCGATCTAATATAGAACTGGGGCTATATAGAACGGCAACCTAGGAATGATAATTAATATTCTCGACTGTATTGCAAACATGGTGTATATAAATAATAAAGAGTAGAGGCCTAAGGATTGACCCTGTGGGACCCCTTTGAAAACATTGGAGAAGTGAAACCATCTGTTTGTGTACAGTGTGTTCTTTCTGACAAATAGCTATTGAACCAACCAACTGTCAATAAAGACTGAGTACTCCATGACTATTGTATATATTTTCAATTTAGGAGAATATACTCACATTTTTAAAAACAAAAACATAATTTTTAAAGATTAATTTTTTAAGACAAGTGTAATAAATAGACTGGTCAAAGTTGATGCCATTAATCCTGCACTGTCTCATTCTATCTCTATTCTCCCACTCTGCAGAATCTGTTAGTTTAGTCTCTAACGTTCTGCTCTCTCTGCTTTTTCTCATAGTAGCTTCATCTGGTCTGTTCCTGTTTGGCTGTGACTCCATCCTGGAGAGAAATATCAGCTGTGCTGCTGCCATCAACACCTTTGTTTATAGATGTTGGAGATCGGCCTGTTTTCCAGTGTAGTCCTGTTTCTCTGACTGTGACTAACTGTTTGTGCTCTCTTCATCCTCTGACATGGGAGCTGGCTTGCACCAAGTCTGCCTGGCTGTTTGTTTCCTGGACGGGGTCGCCTTTAACAGCTGCTTTCTGTATCTCTGCTTCTGTCTCCTTGAACCCCAGTGGGCCTCAGCAGATGGCCGCTCACACTGAGCCTGGTTCTGCTGGAGGTTTCTTCGAGTTAAAAGGGAGTTTTTCCTCTCCACTGTCGCTACAAGCATGCTTAGTGTGAGGGATTGCTAATGAGTCGATGCAATCAGCTGGTTTTCCTTAGATAGAAAACTTTGAATCAATTTGACTGTGTGATCTTGTTGAATTGTAAAGCGCCTTGAGATGACATTAATGACATGAATTGCCACTATAGAAACAAACTGAATTATATTCAATTAAAATTTACATCTTAAGCACAGACAAAGACATAAAAAACACAGTAAGTCTTTAGTCATTTATTAGAGGTCGCAGAGATGAACTGGATCCAAATATCGACGTAATATTAAAAAAATATTCAACAGGCAGAGAGTAGAGAAGGATGTCAGCTAGATGTTTCCACAGAGATCCACAGTTAAAAGGTTTTATTTGAATAATTTCATACTAACATAAAAACAGTGCAGAGAAAATCAGGACATTTCATTAAAAATCGAATTATTTATAATTACTGACTTAGAAGGTTAATATAGTAATTTTGTATCCTTTAAAGAGATTAAATGATTTATTTACAGGTGGAAAGATCGAAGAATAAAGTTTAATTCATTTACTAGTGGATTGAATGGTATGCTTTGGGTCACCGTTATATGTTGGTGATTAATTTTAATGATCCAAGACATAGTTATTCCAAAAAAACCATCCACTGGACGCTGTTTTCCAAGTTTGAAGATGTTTCGCTTCCCATCCAGGAAGCTTTTTCAATTCAAAATGTCAGAAATAGCCTTAAACTCCAGGCTTATAGAGTAGCCCAAACTATCATTGCTATGTTTAACTTACATGTTTATTTATTTTTTCCTGTACAACCTGGAAAATGCTTCATTCTAGTGGTGTCTGGGATGTTTAGCAAGCCGGGTCACCATATCACATAGAACAATATCCTTAAAGGAATAGTACACCCAAAACATGATTAGCCTTCATTTTCTACTCACCCCCATGCTGAACAACACTCTGGAGTACTTTTTTGATATCTCAAATGCATCTGGAGATCTGGGAGGCTTCTTGCTGTCTGCTGACATTCAAATAATGAAGGTCTATGGTGCCCGAGGCAGAAAGGTCCATAAAAGTCCACAAAAAACGTGTCAATATTCCTCCATACTGCTCGTCCAATGTATTCCAAGTGTCCTGAGTGGGTAGCATCCAGAATTTACTCGAAACAAAGTCATTTAGAATGTTTTTAGAGCATAAACAGTAGTGTATAGGATTTCCTAAAAGCGCATTCACGACTCTACGGAAACCGCGGCAGACCAAACCAGATGAAAGTGCGCATTCAGCGTCTGCTCTGCCGATAATGCAAGCGTAGAAGAAGAAATGTGCTGTTTACCTGTGCAAAGAAAGAAACAACGAAAGAAAAATGTCTGAGGACTTCAGTGTTGAGGAAGAGCATGAGTTCTTTGCCGAGCTGAATGCGCACTTTCATCTGGTTTGGTCTGCCGCGGTTTCCGTAGAATCGTGAACACGCATTCAGGAAATCCTATACACTACTGTTTATGCTCTAAAAACATTCCAAATGACTTCGTTTCGAGTAAATTCTGGATGCTACCCACTCAGGACACTTGGAATACATTGGACGAGTAGTATGGAGGAATATTGACACGTTTTTTGTGGACTTTTATGGACCTTTCTGCCTCGGGCACCATAGACCTCCATTATTTGAATGTCAGCAGACAGCAAGAAGCCTCCCAGATCTCCAGATGCATTGAGATATCAAAAAAGTACTCCAGTAGAAAATGAAGGCTAATCATGTTTTGGGTGTACTATTCCTTTAAGAACAATTAAGTTCATTTGAAATTTTCTGATTGTAATTTTTTTAAATTTTTTTTAAAAGCTCACTTGCAATTAACAGGAAATTTGGATGGAAACAGTATTTAAGGCACAGCTGTGGGTGCTGTGACCATGCTGTATAGGAGACTTCTGTAAGCATCCTGCCGTCGCCTATTGAGGTAAAACTTCCTCGGACAGTCGGATCATAGTATAGTTGATGCTGTTTCTTTAAAATGATTTACTGGACTAAAGTACAACTCTATTGATCTGCTATAGTGTTCAATCTCACTGCAACATTGATTAAAGCTTCAGACTAAATGTGTTCAATTAAAGCAGAAAAAAAAAAAAATTCAATGAAGTTCTGAGTTCGAGCCCCACACCCTGCACTCTGGGTCTCTGAGCAAAGACGCTTTCTCTACTGGGAAATTAATAAAGTTAAAATTATTATTATCATTACTGTAATAAATTAAAACTGAACCAGCCTCAGAAAAAATATCAGAATTAATACTTAAATAACGTCCACTTAAAGTTTTAAACGTCTGGGAAATTTTTATAATTCTAAGAGGTGGAAAAAAAAGACAAAGACCTGATTTATTACTCACATCTTCATAATTATACTAATTGGAAAATATACATTTTCTTAGTATTTTTTATTGATTAATTCATCATTGTGGGATTGCTGAAATCGACAGTAAATAGTTAAGAAAATATAACGTATTTCCTAAAGTTTCTAAATGTTTATGACAGGATTTTGATACATGAAGAATGAGGTATTTGGTATCCTCCATTCTCACATCTAGTGTAATGTTATGATAATTATAACAAATCATATTCAGTTAAAGATTCAATTCAATGCAGTTTATTTATATAGCGCCAATTCACAAAACATTTCATCTCAAGGAACTTGAGTTACTACAGTTCACCAGATCATCCAGTCGAATTGATTCGAAGTTTTCTTTCTAAGGAAAACCAGTTGATTGCATCGACTCATTGACTCAAATTAAATCCATCACACTAAGGATGCTTGTAGCGACAGTGGAGAGGAAAAACTCCCTTTTAACAGGAAGAAACCTCCAGCAGAACCAGGCTCAGTGTGAGCGGCCATCGGCTGAGGCCAACTAGGGTTCAAGGAGACAGAAGCAGAGATACAAAAAGCAGCTGTAAAAGGCAGCCCCGTCCAGGAAACACACAATTCAAACTGTAAGAACGTATCTGCTGGTTAGAATCCTGTTTCGAACTTTAGTAACCCAAACATTTTGGAAGACAACCTGAATATTCTTATTCCGTTCGGTTTCTGACATAAGCTGCGTTTGATGTTCTCTGATAACTAAAGCATTAAAGAAACTTTTCAGAAAAAAAATGAACTTTTTCATGAAAAAGTGAAGAAATATCTGCAGTTCTAAAAAGGTATTGTTGGACAAATTCTCTGCATAATATTTCTGTAGTTATAAACAGAGGCTGCAAAAACGAAAGCCTTTCTTCATCAAAGCCTCGGCTAAAAGCACAATGATGTAGACGTGAAACAAGACAACAGCACCACCCACAGAGCATCAAACCCAGAACATGCAAAACGTCACTCATATGATTTCTTTTGATAGTAGACTAGCTCTGCATCACAATACGAAACAAACTCACCCACACTATTTGTCTCCATATCTCTTTTCAGACCGCAAAACATGGCCACAGACTCTGACTTTTCCCTTCTCAGAGAAACATCCACAGCAGAGCAGGGAGAGACAAACGCTGACAGTTCAGAGGAGGAGACAGAGGGAGAGATGTGGACTGCTGAGCACTCTGGGAATACAGTGGTAATGATAAGAGATGACTGCCGCTTACGCTACAACCACTCAACCCCCAAGAGGAGAGAGAGAGAGAGAGAGAGAGAGAGGTACACACACTGAGGAATGAGAAAGGGAAGGTTAAGCCTTGTGGAGAGAGAAAGTGTTCAGAAATATGCAGATTAAAGAAGCTAAGAGTATGTGGGTGAGTGAAAAAACGTGATAAAATAAGAAGGATTAGACAGGCAGCGATGAATTGGTTATTTTTAGAAGAAAAAAAACAGGAATGAGAAATCTTCTGTCATTTTCCTTAAAGGAAAAGTCCGGTGAGCAAGGAATATGTTTACGGTGATTTTATATATATATTGATATATATATAAATATATTAAGTGTTAATCATTGAAAAAATAAAAACAATATTTTTTTCGTCCCGATCACTGAGTCTGGGAGCGGCCCTTTCCGCCCAAATATAGTAACACCTCATTCCTGCCATCTTCCAGCAGTGACGTCACGGTGCGGTAAGCCTAGCGCCATTCTCCCCGCTTTCCAAGCTAAATCAATGGGAACTACTAGACACATCTGCAATCAACAACAATTATTGAAGATTTCCAGAGGACTTCACCATTGAAATTCACCAGAGCTATAGTGAAACTGACAATGCCCACGTGCATGGCAGCTGGATGCTGGAATACATCGGGTAAAAGTGAAAAAAAAAGTTATTTCCCCTTTCTGATTCCTGATCCTCCACGGACGGGTTGGTCGTTGGATCGCCAACTTGAAGAGGGAGGATTTGCCATCGAACTTCTGGCCAGAGAAAAAACCCGTAATATGTAGCCAACATTTGGAAGAAGAATGTTTTCAAGATGACTTGGATAACATACACCAGATGCAGCACTGGGACTTGATCAACAGCCGATACCGCACCGTGACGTCACAAACCAGTAGGTGGCAGTAGTGTTCTTTGACAAACATGGATGCCTCCAGTGAAGTAGATTCAAATGAAAATTACACTAAAAAACACTAACCATTTATTGAACAGTATGTAATAATTTCATATTTAAAGTGCTTTCAGAGGTTTGAACTCTGGCACGTCAGGAATTTTCGGCCCCATGAAAGACAATGATATTGGGTCTCCCCCCCAAAACAACACAGATAGGCTAGTTAGCCCTGGCTGCGGTTCGACTCGGAGGTCCGCTGGTTGATGTGGTCCTCTCAATACCAGTATACTGGTATTGAGAGGACCACTTTTTTTTAAATTACGCACTAAATCATTAAATGGGCCATATAGTGACACCTCAAATGACCTTAAAACATACTTGTATTGAACAACAGCAACAGAAAAGAGAACTTTTAACCTAATAGCATGCCACAGTGCATGCTGGGACAGCTGTCAATCTCAAGAATGGACAAGCAGTGTTGCCAACTCCTCAGTAAGGAAAGTAGCTATTGGCTGTGCTACAAGTCGCTAGAAGTCGCTGAATGACGTCATTGCCTAATTTGCATATATATTTTAGGAGCTTAAAGGAATAGTACACCCAAAACATGATTAGCCTTCATTTTCTACTCACCCCCATGCTGAACAACACTCTGGAGTACTTTTTTGATATCTCAAATGCATCTGGAGATCTGGGAGGCTTCTTGCTGTCTGCTGGCATTCAAATAATGGAGGTCTATGGCGCCCGAGGCAGAAAGGTCCATAAAAGTCCACAAAAAACGTGTCAATATTCCTCCATACTGCTCGTCCAATGTATTCCAAGTGTCCTGAGTGGGTAGCATCCAGAATTTACTCGAAACGAAGTCATTTAGAATGTTTTTAGAGCATAAACAGTAGTGTATAGGATTTCCTGAAAGCAGGCGCCTGCGCGTTCACGACGCTACGGAAGCCGGCAGACCAAACCAGATGAAAGTGCGCATTCAGCATCTGCTCTGCCAATAATGCAAGCGTAGAAGAAGAAATGTGCTGTTTACCTGTGCAAAGAAAGAAACAACGAAAGGAAAATGTCTGAGGACTTCACTGTTGAGGAAGAGCATGAGTTCTTTGCCGAGCTGAATGCGCACTTTCATCTGGTTTGGTCTGCCGCGGTTTCCGTAGACTCGTGAACGCGCTTTTAGGAAATCCTATACACTACTGTTTATGCTCTAAAAACATTCTAAATGACTTCGTTTCGAGTAAATTCTGGATGCTACCCACTCAGGACACTTGGAATACATAGGACGAGCAGTATGGAGGAATATTGACACGTTTTTTGTGGACTTTTATGGACCTTTCTGCCTCGGGCGCCATAGACCTCCATTATTTGAATGTCAGCAGACAGCAAGAAGCCTCCCAGATCTCCAGATGCATTTGAGATATCAAAAAAGTACTCCAGAGTGTTGTTCAGCATAGGGGTGAGTAGAAAATGAAGGCTAATCATGTTTTGGGTGTACTATTCCTTTAACAAGCATGGTAAAACATGAACATTTTCAACCATACATTTTTTTTTACATTACATTAACAACAAAAAAACATAAATGGAACAAAAAAAGACTGCAAAGAATTAATGACAATGTGAGCAAATAATTGTAATTAGGCCCGAGCAGCATAGCGCTGCGAAGGCCTATTGTATTTCGAAAGTTTCTTATTATTATTATTATTAGGCCCGAGCAGCATAGCGCTGCGAAGGCCTATTGTATTTCGAAAGTTTCTTATTATTATTATTATTAGGCCCGAGCAGCAAAGCGCTGCGAAGGCCTATTGTATTTCGAAAGTTTCTTATTATTATTATTATTACGATTCTTGTAGCACTTTGAACGCATTTTACGGGGACTTCGCATATTCAAAAACTCAGGAAAACGTGGCAGTAAATTGTCCCCCGCGTGAAATAGCCGGTCTGTAATGGAATCCAAAATGGCCGCCCCCAAATTACGCCACAGCGCCCCCTAACGTGAGTTGGGGGAAACTGTAAGTCCCAGAGATTTGAAAGTTGGCACACAGGTAGATCTCCTCAAATCATGAAAAAAAGTCTCTTGGAGGTATGCCCTAAAACCCACAGGAAGTCGGCCATTTTGGCTCAAAGTGCGATTTTTGGCCATTTTTCATTTTCGCTCATGTCGAACTTTAACGAACTCCTCCTAGGGATTATGAGCTATCGGCTTCAAACTCGGTCATTATGCAGTTAAGGCATTGGAGATTAAAAGTTATCAAAGGTTTTCGTTTTTGAGCATGTTTAAGGGGTCCCCAGGGGCCCCCCA